GGGGGGGGGGGGGGGTTGGCATGTCTGGGTCCTGCTGTACTGTGAGTTATAATTTTCAGTGTGTTTCTATTAATACACCTGCAACATCTACACCGTATCCCATTCTGCCTGTGCATCCTAAAACTGCCTTTCCCCTGCTGTTATCTCTTGACAAAACAGAAACTGGACCATCTGATTTCAATACTATCGCGTGATCATCATCCAATGGTGATAAGTATCAAATGTAAATCATCTCAATGAAGACACCCACCAGAAGAGGCCTCCAGTCTCTCCAGTCTGCTAATGAGCCAGTCCAATGAACCGGAAAACTGAGCACAGTTCTTCCTGTTACCTCTGATCAGTGCAGCTGGGAGGAGACAGAAAAAGGCAGACATGACTCAAGAGGTGTTGCTATTATGTGATAATGGTAACCCACAATCCTGCACACACATTTCTGTACTCTGATTGCAACATTTTCTACTTTGACCTAATCTCTTTAAATAATATGAATAGCGATTTAATTTAATTCAATTTAATTACTTTCTGTAGAGCTCTTCATAAAATTCTACCAAAGATAATGAAATTTGTTGTAATTATATAATCCGTCATGTTAATGCCATGCATGTGTGTGTATACCCAGTAGTTGGTAGAGGGAGTTGAGGATGGAGCTCCAGGCCTCTCCCGCCTCCCTTCCTACTGCTTCAGCAAAATGAGCTGCACTGCTGTAGACGTGAAGACGATCAATACACTCCAATACGAGGCTGATCATTCCCTACAAACACAGAAGTCATTGGTTTTAGTGGTTTATTCAGCTGGATTCACATCAGTATAATCAAATGAAGTGGACAAGAGAGACACAGTGTATAGCAGGAGGCTTTAATTGTTAACACTGTGAAGACTCAGCTTCAGATAAAGGACAGATTCCTACTTGTCACATCCGCAGCTTTAAATACTTTAACAAGGCCACCCTTAAGGCAGATTTATAGCATTGGCTCTGAGCAGAGCCTAAGCACGTTCAAAGCACTGCAGTTTTTTCACTTCCATGTTGGCTTCATTTTTCAGGCCCTGAGTTTGCCGCTTGTTCAAAACACACCTAAAACACACTTTAAAAATGGCTTTGTAGCTACAATTTCCAACACAGGTACACGAATCGGCTCCTAACTCAGAGGATTCACAGACACACTGACAAAATACTCGTCTTTTTCTAGACACATTTTCCCCACAAATACCACATGCTAATGTTATTAGTAGAAGGCTATGGCATTTTACATTGCATAAATTGGCCTCATGGCTAGCGGAGTTCTCCTTTAACCGTTAGTGAGGTACTGTTAAGTTTAGTTGATTCAAAACACTCATTAAACATGGCTTAATAGCGACAATTTCAATTCCAAGTACATAAATTGGCCTTAAATAACTCGCAGGATACACAGACAAAGCACTTGTCTTTTGCTGGACACATTTTACTCACAAATACAACATGCTAATGTTATTAGCACAAGCCTATGGCATTGGACATTGTATAAATTAGCCAAGCCACTAACGGACTTTTTCACTACTCACAAGGTTCACCGACAAAATAACTGTTATACTGAACACGTTTTCCAAACAAATATAACATGCTAACATTATTAGCACAAGCCTATAGCAATTTATATTGTATACATTAGCCTAGCACCTAGCAGAGATATCCTCTACTCATATGAAGCCAGGATAAATCACACACAAGACTTAAAACGCTATTTTGTGGAGGCCTTATCGTCTTCACATTTTATTGTTTCTTATCTGTGAAATAAAAGTAAATAAAAACTTCATTTCCACTGAGGGAAATGGTTTCAGCTTACAAAAATAGACAGGATGTCTGTGTTGCCGTGACTTGTAGTCATATTTCTGGGGAGGTGCAAGTCAGGCTACAGTGAAGGCTCACAGGGTTCATCAACAAAACAATTGTCTTAATAATCTTTTTTTTTTTTTTCTTTTTCAAATTTGCTTTAAAAAAATCACTAAATAAAAAACTCACTGGTGACGGACTTATAAATAAACTGATTACACAGCACTGTGAAGGAAGAGTTAAACGGCAAAGACCTTAAAATTAAAAACTGAGACATACAAGACATTTTTCTCAGTTTTGGTTGTGTGATAAATGTTTATTTTTATCTATACTGTAAAAAATTACTATATCTGAACTATACTGTACATGAAGGTGGTGAAAATGGTGATAAAGAGATACTAGGGAACAAATCATATGGCTTAGAGGTAGCATGCGCACAGGAGATAAATTGATGCAGGAGTGAAATATAACTGGTGAGTGTGATGAAATATAATCATAGGTAAACAGCCATCATATATGACTTTCCCTTAAATTGCCACAAGGGACTTCTGTTGGCATTATAGAAACAAAATGAGTGGAACAGACATCAATCATCAATCAATACAACAGGATGGTCAGAGTAGTGGCCATTTCTATGTGAGCCGTTGCCATTGCAGCTATTGTCATTGCAACCAATGTAGCAGCAATGTAACCTCCAATTAAACAAACCAACTAAGGGCAAGTCACAAATTCACTGAGGTGGTTTTACAGTAATGACCAACTGAGCAGCCGAGTAGTGTGAAGCCTGAAGAGGCGTCTTTTGTGCACTTTCTCTGTTGCCTTGCTGCTAGAGAGGAATTGAGGATTGCTGGGTTTAATTACTTCATATTTTATTGGTAACTTATCAAACCCTATTCCATAAATGAAAACATTGGCTTATTGTATACTTTAGGCACAGAGTAAACAGAGTTGTCAGCCTAATGAGTGGGACATACTTAATGGCCCCACTGATGTGTGTTGTCACCATGACAACAAATCACAATTGCCATTTTCTGTTGAACTAATTTAGGTATGTGACCACAGCAAACAGTTAAATGTCATCTCTATCCATTCTATGTCTATGGTTGGCATAATCCTTTCATTTTAGCTTTTTTTAAAAAATCTACCTTAGAAATTCATTTGTAAAATTATAAAACAGATTCTACTGCCACTTCATGACCTTGTTAAACAAGAGTCGAACACACACACACACACACACACACACACTCTCCCTACCTCTTCCTGAAAGAGGTTCTGCCGGTTCTTCAGAGCTCTCAGTCGGTTCTGCTTGTCTTCATGTTCCAGGTGATCTCCAGGTGGTTGGAAGTAGCCAATCAGATCCTGCAGACTCAGACTGACTGAATCTATTGGTAGATCTAAGGTGGAGCTCTTCCCTTTTTTCCTTAGTGTGTCCAGACCCCTGGAGCATACAGAGCAGAGGACACCGTCACAAACTGGCTCAGTGAATGTGACCAGTAAGGAGTTCACACAAAAGATTGAGTTAAAACAAACAGAACTTGTGTCAGGTGTGCTGTGTAGGTGTTGAAGGTGCACAACCAAAAGGCAATGATGCAGGGTGGACGTCTGATGTAGGAAGGGGGAGAGCAAATTAACAACTGGGGCAGCTTTTATAGCATGGGAAGGCCCAGGTGAGCTTAATCAAGGCAGTGACCCTCCCATGTCAGCCAACTGCCTGATGAGGTTAGCCAGGACATCCTCCAAGACAGTTGGAGGGGTGTATGGGGGGGCCAGAATGACAATCAATGGTCACTGCTGCTATAATACTGGTGTCTACTACCTGATTATGTTGACTGAGACCTAAAATGTTAGTGCATTAGGATTTTTTACTCCTTTGTTGAAAGCTAATTTATATGCAAATGTTTAGCCAGTCAGTGTAATGAGTAGTTGGAAAAAATAACATATTTTATTTCTGCAGTGTGTTTTTGCTCAGAACGACTGTGAGGATGTCGGCTCTCACTGTGTTCAGACTGAGTTTGCAGTTGTAGCTGATTGTTTATACACACCTCCCTGCTGCTCTGCTTTGGTTTGATGTATGGATGTGATGATTGCCCCGTCCACACTATTGTGCCAGACTTAATGTTTAAGATAAAGTTACATCAATTCAAATGGCTTATATAGGCCAAAAGACAGGAGTGAATTTTCTAAAAATAAATAAATAAATAAATAAATAAAATAAAAATAATCAGTGCACTGCTGGTCCCAGCTGTGTTTCTCTTATATTTTCAGGATTCTTTCTCAGAAGGCCCTGCTCCTCACGTAACAGAAGACACACACAAACACCTATCTGTGAGAGAGTTTTAGACATCTTGATGCTCTAACATGTTGGCTTAACCCTGTTCATTTATCATTTAGCATAGCATTTCCTATTGTCTCACAAAATAAATTACAGCAGTGACTACATGTGTGCTCACTCCCCAGACTCTCATTGACATGTCAGAACATCGGTTCACTGGAGATATCTTCAACTGGGACATTCTGCATGTTCTTTTTAATAAAATAAAATACTTCTGTTGTCTTTAAAGAGGAGAATCTTTTTGTGACATTTTTTATATGTAGCGTTTAAGAGAGGAGAGATTTATCTCTCTGTTTGCAGTGTGATGTAATACATGAAAGAAGTTGTTTTCAGACAAATGTTTCACAGCTGCAGTGGTATCTGGGCACATTTGACACTCATGTCGCAATTGACCTTTAGCTAAACCCCATCCCTTTGTGATGGTGCTTCAAGCTGTCGGAGTAAGCGTGGAGCCCACACTGTAACTAACTGCACTCCCTTGAAGAAATATTATCATATTTTGGAATAATGAAAAAGTAGTTCCAGAGAGAAGCAGACAGAGGGGTCTACAAAGTGCGCTTGAAGGAAATACACAGGATGTCAAACTAACTCAGCAGAGAAAACAGGTTAAAAAGACAAAGATAGTTAGAAGCTAAAGCCGAACTACAGGCTACAGATCACAGAGTAAATGTGAACCACCACATCACGGCTGATCGCCTCAGAAAATAATGAATATAAAGGGAAACTTTGCTAATATTCAACCAGCTGTGTGGCATTGCTGTGTGTGCAAATGAACCATGTTTAACTTCACCCCCATGCCACTGCCAGCACCCTGACCTCTGCCCCTGGATGGGCATGGAGACACAACGATAAACAATGTTCATCTGAGCACAATGGGATGACACAAAGCTGGTTGAATATCAGCAGTTTTCCTGCTTCCCTTTACTGGTTCCTGTACAGCAGTATCATAATTATTAAAGGCAAAAGCAGCATGTTTATACATTCAGAGGGTTCGATTTTGGTTTTGGAACAAGAGAGTAACGTATATCTTTTTCCAGCCTCTCCAGGTAACGAGTATCATTAATACACAACATGCCCCAGGCACAACATTTAGCTCCAAATCCACAAAAACAGCCTGAAAATGAAGGAAAACTGAAACAATTGGAATATAGTCAATGCAGCACAGCTGTGTTGTTGTTGGACCCCGGTCTGAGCCTTCCTTATGCTACGTTATGATTGGCCAGTTTGCACTTGGGGGTAGGACTTAGCAAAGGGTCAGTTAACAGAATGGTACTGCACAGGGGCTGAAATGAGTTACATTTATTTGAATGGGCTTCGTGAATTGGAACTGCAACATCAGAACTCAACAATAAGGATTGCCCAGTTGTCCAAGACAAGTAAAATGCCACATCGGGCTAGTATATCTAGCAACTCCCGATCAGGCATGTGGTAAAAAAAAATTAAATAGATAATTTTTTCAGGAGCTGATGAAGCTCTGGAGTGAGCCATCTCGTGTCCTTCTCATTTCTGTTGAGAGGTATATGTGTGCAGTACCTATAAGGCACTGGCAAGACATTGGCAGCAGGTAAAAAATAGTTTATGAGCTGAAGTGCAAGCAAGCATTCTAGTGATCCTGGAAACAGGACTGTAGTTGAGTGGCATTGCAGGATGTAGGCAAACCTCCAACTATAGTATGCAGTGTGCCGCAAGTTTGAGAGCAAGATGGATAAAATGGGGTTGTTATTCATGATAGTTACCTTTAATCTTTGTGGTTATTTGATAACTGCTAATAAATAAAACAATTTGTATAGGGGCAAGAAACAATTGACTTAGGGTAAGTAGATTTCTGATCCTTTTGCCGGACCGAGAAAGTGAAAGAAAAAAACATTAACACTGAACCCTGAACATGCTTCTTCCTAAGTCTGCAATATCTCACTGTGTGCAGCGATATGTTTGCTGCACACAGTGAGAGCAGCTGCCGAGACTTCAAACAGGACTACAGCGGCTTGTTGCTTTACATAAAAAAGGCACCCAGCAAACAAGCTGCGGGATCCTGCCACAGTTTCACTGAAGGAGCCAGTTCCAGTTCTCTCCTCAAATTAAAAGACACTAAAGCAGAATGCAGCATGCGTGCTGCTTCTCATATACTGTGGTACATTAAGTGCAGGATATTTGCTTTCAATTAGGTTACTATCAGTGTCTTGCCTCATGTTCACTCCAGAGCAGCCTGCATTTCCCCTGAGCTTCATTTTCACTACCATTCAAGGGAAATTAAAAAAAGGTTGTTTCTACACAGGTACAGTCACAATATGTTGTCACAAGATCACAGAGTGAACAGAACTTCTCTAGCATGCAAGGGGAATTGCAGCAGGCTTGTTATATAGTTTAAGTGCACATAGGTGGAGCTGGCTGGTTGTGTTAGTGCAGTGGTTCCCAACTGGTTCAGCCACACGGTCCAGATTTCTCCTCTGTCATTAGTTCAAGGTGCACACAGTTTAATACATTCAACATCATACTTGAGTTTGGCCATGTCATAGAGCTACTTTGCTGTCTCTGGCAAGAAGCTGTCCAATATTCACTCACTCTACAGCAGGAAACAGAGCTTCAAAATGAAAGCTCTGTCCCCTAAATTCACTGTACTTAAAAATCAAGTGTGCTTTTCATAAACTTGACATGTTTGCAAGTCACTTGTGGTCCATTCAGAATGGACACACGTCCCACCAGTTGGGAATCGGCATGTAAGTGGGTCCCATATATTTCAAGAATCATGATGTTCCTGTTGAATTTCTCACAGCTGTTTGGATTCATGAACCCTCATGAGTAAAGCCCTTTTCACGAGTGCATCACAATTTGCTGGGATAAATCCCTGTCACTTTTAACTTTTCAGATTCTTACTGTATGCTGCTGCTGGGGTTTAATCCAACCTGATCCACACTGCAGCCTCCTCTGCTGCTGTCTTATTCCCGTCCTTTGCTATGGTATCTCTTATCTTATTTATGCTGTGTGTGTGCATATCTAGGTGTGTGTGTGTGTGTGTGTGTGTGTGTGTGTGTGTGTGTCTGTGTTTGTGTCTGTGTGTCTGTGTCTGTGTGTCTGTGTCTGTGTGTCTGTGTGTACCTGTGAATGTGTGTGCAGTAACACACCTGATAAAGAGGTTGAACAGAAACACAGTACTGCGGATGACTCTGGCAGTGCGACTCTCCTCATGTTGTGACCGAGACAGTGTCAGCCCATCGTCCATGTGACCCTCATGGTGCATGATGGCCTGAAATAAGAATAAAAGATTTTGAAAAACACTGACCCCTACTTTTAATATCATGCTGAACGTCATCGTCAGAATAAATCGAAATAACTGAATAGCTGATTCTTAACTAATAAACTGTTGAAATGTTACAAATACTCTATAAACTATCTGTACTATTTTAAAGTGTTAACAAAATGGTTTCTTGCAAGACTATTATGTCAAACCTGAGCTGTGTCAGGATAAATCAATAAGTGGGGCAACATCAGAGAGAGTAATCCAGGACCCCTGTTGTTGGAAGTCAAATAAGAAGCTGCAATTGTGTGTCAGTTTATCAAAATATCAAAATTTGAATTTACAGTCATACCGGCTGTTTTCTACTTGTGCTTTCACTTTTCTTTCTTGTGATAAGACTGACTTTATTTTGCAACAAGAGAAAAAAATTATTAAAGCATTAAAGGATAAATCTTGTCATCAGCTTTGGAATTAATAAAATTGTATATTTAACAGAAGTGATGATTCACTGTTAGCTCAAGTCCATCTCCCTCCCTTGCCTTCCTGACATTAGCTCCATTCAGACATTCAGACCTACTTCTTTGTCACTAGTGACATTTTTTTACCACATAGAAAAGATCTTATATTATAAAACCACGCAAAGCTTCACTGACTTCTTTAAAGCATGGGTGCAGGCACCTCTTGATTTTACTCTGATGTTAATAAAGGGTCATATGACAGCGTAATGCATTCACTTAAGATAAAAAATTTCTCTCTTTCTGAATTAATGAGAAAATAATAAGAAATTTCACAAAAAAAACATCAATTCAACAAATGAATGAATGAAACCTTTACTGCCCTGCATTGGGATTTGCTTTGCACAAACGAGCATAAAGAGTATCCAAACACACATTAATAACAACCACACATAACATAAAAACATGCAAAAAGCACAATAAAACATTATAAAAAGCATCATCACTGGAAATTTGACAAAGGACATTAAGTTAAAGAAGTGCCAGCTCCTGACCTGTGATCAGTGCTTGTAAGCAGCTGAATGCTACATGGAATAAATGATGTCATATCTCTTTTAGTCCACATCCTGGCCTTGCTATACTTGCGTCCTGAAGGTACAGTATGGGTGCATACTCACACCAAACAGGGGGCAGTGGATCTGCTATGATCTCATGTGCTAGATTAATTGTGAATTCACAAAGTTAATGTCTTTTTAATAACTTTTTTTAATAATTAAGTCATTTTTTCATAATTCTGGCATAATAATCATGTTAATTTAGCAAGATTTCTCATGTGTATGGATTATACTTCTGTAGGGTCATAAATTCTAGTGGTAACTTCATAATCTGCTGCCACATCTTGTTGCTGCATCTTGGTTACTCCTTGGTATCAGCATGGACTGTAGTCACAACAAAAGAGAGGCAGATGATAAAACCTTCTAAAAAGTGCAGTATGCTTTAATGCAGCTGTGTACCTTTCTCTGTACTCCTCCCATGCGTGCACACTTGGCATCAACAGTCTGGTACGTAAGCCACAGGCAGGTGTCAACATGTTGGATGTAACATACAGAGTCTCCATACTTAATGTCAGGAACACCCATGCCATCCACCTCCTTCTTCACCCCAGGGTCCAACTTTTCCTGAAGGGGAGAAAAAACAGAATACTGTAATCAATACTGGATAAATGTTACATGACAGACACAGCAGTGCCTTAATGGATCATTTCATGATTTAAGATTCCAGTTAGTTTAAAGCAGGGCCATGTGTTTCTAGTTTATGCCACCATGGCAAACAACTGTGTGCGGAATTCCGGGATTTAAAGATTCAGCTTCAGAGGTTTTACATGCTATACTGACTCATCACTAATATCCCTAAAAATGTATTTATGAATTTACAAAACTGGTTAATACAAGTCAGATGGTAAATAGAGACTGTGAACACTGTGTCCATATCTGGATTCGTTTGACAGCATCATATCTTTATCAGCATAAACACTAGTAGATTTTTTTTAAATGTATTTTTATGGTTTTTATATTTATTTCTCTTTACTGTGCTTTATGTGTTTTACCATAAATTTAAACTAAACTCACCACAATATTTCACTCCCATTTAAATACTAAAGTCTGAAACAATTTTCTTGATTGTGGCACGATTGGTCGATAATCAATTTGTGGATCAACAGAAAATTAATCAGAATTGATTAAATGCAAAAGCATTTGAGTTGTTAATGGACAACAATCAGGATAAAGGATTATGGTGAGACAAAATAAGTGTAGTGCTTTCTGACAGGCACATTATCTCATCAACGTATAAAAAACCTGGAATCAAATCAGGGTTTTAATGGTGAGAGATAGTGAAGCATTTGATATTATACGACCCTTCTCTGTTTCAGCCGTAAATATCTGATGCTTGCATGAGAGTAAAGATAAGAAAAAGAAAAAATATACCACGAAGCACTATATTGCACTAACTAACTTTGGCCATTTTAACTTTGTTTTAACCTGTTTTGTCTTTTATGTTCTTCATTGTTTTACTGTAATTGCTCTGTTTCATCATTTTAGTATATTTTATTATTTCACTCTGCTGTTTTCACTCCGTATAGCACTTCACAATAATGAAAAGTATTCAGTAATAAAAGGGTGCTGTAAATAAAGATTTTATTAAAGTTACTCCTACTGTATCTACTGAAAGTGTGTGAACACAGAGCACTCTATCTACGGAGAGCAGACAGACAGTTATAGAAAGCAGTTATAAGTACATTATGGCCATACCACAATCTCCAGTCATTAGATTACAGAGAGAACCATGATGTGGATGTTGTGATGCTCTACAGCCTTTAACACAAGATGATGTTTGGTTTTACTTGTTGACCCTCTGAAATATGCCCTTCCATTAGCTTCCGAAGCCATAATACATCATACCCTTTATAGACAGTGTTGTGGATGTTGTTGATTCTGTACCTTGGAGGACCTGAAGCAAAAGGCTGTCGACTTGACATCAGCTTTTTCTTTGTCCATCAGCAACAGGGACTTGTCTTCTATTAGACTCAGATACTTCCCTGTGGTCACATGTCTCAGTCTGAAAGGCTGACCCCAGCGGATATGACTCCCACTCCACCTGGACACACAAATAGTCAGAGGCAGAAATGCTTAAAGTACAAATAAACATGAAGAACCCTAAATAAAAACATATACCTGCAAAAATCAGCAAAGTAGGCAGGGTTAAAAGTTAACCATGAATGAAGTTCCTTTAAAGCTGCACTTGTAAATATTTTTACAAACCATACATCAAATGTGTAATATGAAAGTTGTTACTCATAGGAACAAACCCATCAACTCTGTAGTTCCCTTCAGCTCCACACAAGGCTGGATTATCAGCTGGGCAAGCCAGGAACCTTCCCCAGAGCCTCAGACCCTCAGAGAATGTAAATGGTCCTGGTTGACCATGTGGCAGTTGCAGTGATTTAACCAACTGCAAATTTGTTAAAGGATAAGTTCTGTTGTTTTCAACATGGACTCCAGGTGTATGACAACATTATGGAAAGGATCCCTACAGAGACAGACCTTTTTGTTAAAGAGTAAGATCCTTTTTGTTTAACCAGGACCAGCCCTGAAATTGCCATCACCAAACCCACCAGAGTCCATTTGACTAAATAGTAATTTTAGCAGAACAATGGAAAGATGAAACAAGAGTTTCAACAACAGTTTTGGTGAGGGTTTTTTGTGTGTGTGTGTGTGTGTGTGTGTCTGTCTGTCTGTCGAGTCGACTTTGAATAAAGTGTGTTTTACGATGATTAAATTACTGTTTATTTCAATGGAGTCTGGGGCTGTTTCTGGTTGTACAAAAAAGGCTTATCTCTGTAGGGATCCTTTCCATAATGTTGTCAGACACGTAGAATATAGATCTCAGTCCGTCAGTGGCAAAAACAAGCACTCTTAGTGGATGTATATTGACAGTGCGAACATGCCCTGAGTGGTTACATTGCAACCTGTTTTGCCGCTACTGGCTGCAGCCCTGTCACTTAATTCTGGACCCACTTCAAAAATTGTTGATCCAGTTAGTTACTTGGGTACAAAAACATGGGAAAATAGGGTCAAGGTTGAAAAAAATAACAAATTTACACTTTAAGCAATATGCACCACCAAAGCACAAAATAAACTGAAATGATAATGGCTTATAGACGGGCCCTGTGTCATAATGCACCTTTCTTATTTCAGTTTATATGTCTATAAATACATTTCTGTTTAATTAAACTGCTACAATCTAGTGAACCTGCAGGGTAGTATCACAGAATAGAAGTTCTGGTTGGTAAATTATTGTTCTTGATGGGTCATTAATGGCAACAAGAACACATACACAATGCATAGCTCATTTACTGTATCCCCCAGAGGCTCCTAGCAGGTTCTGGTAATGACTCTACAGAGTGCTTTAGTGTCTTTCAGTTCCTTGTTTTGATTTTACAGCCTAGAAACTGTGCTCTGTTCCAGCCTGTTCCCAGTAGGCAGCTGTTAATCAGCAGAAAGAGTTAGCAAATAAAACCAGCTGGTAAACATAGTGGAGCAAATGTGTCTCTTCACCATGCTATGCTACATGAATGCTTCATCATATGTTATCTTCTCAAGCTTAAGTTGAAATAAATTGAGAACCTGAGTGAGGACAGGTCTGTCTCCTATTGAAAATGTGTGGCGCATTATGAAGTGCAAAATATGACAACAGCACCCGTTCTGTTGAGCAACTGAAGTATATCAAGCAAGAATGGGTAAAAAATGTCACCATCAAAACTTCAACAATTAGTGTCCTCAGTCCCCAAACACTTACTGAGTGTCTTAAAAAGAGAAGGTGATGTAACACAGTGGTAAACATGCCCCTGTCCCAACTTTTTGGAAACATGTTGCAGGCATTAAATTCAGACTAAGCGTATCAGTTTGAACATTAAGTCTCATCTTTGGACTGTGTTCAATTGAATATAGGTCAAAAATTTGCAAATTATTACATTCTGTTTTTATTTATGTTTTACACAGCGTCACAACTTTTCTGAAATCAAAGTTGTACAAAAGCTTATTATCACTCCAGACTGACCTTCATTGGTTAAAATATGGTAACCATTCAGTCAACTTCGGCAACCAAGGAGCTGCTGCCTGGTTTCCAACCATGTCTTAAACTCAGGTCCTGATTCTGCTGTTACTTAGCAACTATTGAAGCCATTTAAAGGTTGTTGACGTGCACAATGTGAGTATAAGTTGTCATATTTTTAACAAGCGCTCTACCGTTCTGCTGTTCACAGTACAGTGAGGGCCACCAAACAATGCCGAACTCTTTACACTGTCAGGAATCACCAGTAGTGGCTTCAAGCAGCTTGACAGCAGACAAAAGAATAACAGCACTAACATAAAGTCACATTAAAACATCTGTGTATATTGCATATGTGTGGCGATTAGACTGTGTAGAGGTGCATGTCTGCTGGTGTATACATGCAAATCCACGTTTCCTGTATGTGTATGTTATACTTACACAACACGCAGTGTCTCCAACCTCCACAGGGACCTGGCATGACTGGATACTGCTCCCCCCTCATAGTGCACTGTCCTGGGGGGATAATGACACGATCACACTTTCATACAATTATGTACTCTCTCCACTCATACCATTGTGCATCCTATAACTCACTTCTCCCACTGCAACTCCAGATGCTATGTATGTCTGAATATGCTACTACATGGATGACTCAGTACCAAAGCTCAGCAGACAGTCAGTCAGGAGAACACAGTCATTCTCATCGGCATTGTTAAACAACATGGCTGTCCCCTTTGGGAACATCTTAAAACTATAATTATTAATAGTCCTCCCTGTCTCAGTCACAGCGGAGAGCTCAGTCTGTAATGAGAGTTTCTACTTTCTCTCCCTGCAGGCTCTGGGAATTTCCTTTACAAAAGAGCTGAATACTGTGTGTCTAATGGTCTAAACTCCAGGGTGAAGGCAAGCCAAACTTCAGCAGAGGAAAAGGCAGAATGCAAAACTTTGACTGCAGAGGTGACTTTGACATTCATTTGAAACTGTAAAGTCCTGAGAAACTAACATTTCAATACGAAATGCTGAAATATTCTGTATGGCTATCTGTTTGTTAAAACTTTACTGAAACTGATATCTTACATCATCAGACCTTTTAAGTGAGCTGCTCTAAAGTGAGACTACATAAAAATGAGTTTCATGAAGACGCTGCATGACAGGTCTATAAAGTCTGTGCTTCTATGCTGCGTTCCAGTCAAAGTCAGAGGTTGGGATTTCTCATTTGAAATTTACAACTCTTGACCTTCAACCATTCCAGGCGCACAAGGCCAAATGTAAACAAAAAACATGATTCATCAAATTTGGAATATTGTCATATTTTCAGTAACAGTGGGATATTAATGTGCATGTAAAGAGAGTCAGTGTCATACTTCTGGTTCCCTCATGCAAACACTGTTAGCTGCTGTAGCTCCCTCCACCAGCCCAACCTCCTCCTGTTGTGTTGAAGTTTTTGGCATTGTGAAGTTGCTATGATCTAATGTTTATGTCAGTTCCATATTTATGGAAAAATCATTGTTTTCTCAGTTGTATTTGGAAGAGCTTGATGCATTGTTTAGATTCTGTATATTTTGACAACCCCATCTCCTACGTCACAGCCAGTATGGACAGGTGGTACTATCATAGCACAGTCACAGATGTTCAACTTTATAGAGGCAGGTAGTCCAAACAGAGCCAGACTAAACAGTACAGTACATTTCAATCATGATCTGCTGGGAGAAGCATATGTGGCCCTACTGCACATAATTTTCTTTTAAACTTCTACTTGCAAAATCATGAGTACGTCGTTTTTTCTGTCCAACACTTTGGTATTGAAGGATAATAAATTGTAGCCTCCAGGTTCTGGTACTGGGTCTCTTTATGAATGTATAACTAAATGACTGCAATTAAACAAGACATTTATTGACCCAGTGTACAACAGTTCCCCTGGTGACATGTGAATGTATATGTGTAATCTGATGTCTCTGAAGCAGTGCAGGTAAACTACTTCATATAAAACCAGAGGAGATACATTTCGTTAAATAAATGACAACCTTCAGCTCATATGCTATCAGTCCAGTTGTAATTTTCAGCACACATTACCTCCTCTGCTCGTCCCCATGCTCTCCAGATGGAACAGTTAGACACTCGTCCATGTGACCATGAAGGAGGCGCAGGACGTCCCCTCCTATCAGGAAACCTGCATAAAAGAGAGCAGGAAGGGAGACATGGGGAATGACATTGGAGAAAGAAAGAGACATGGATCATACTACAGAGAAAAAGACTGTCAGATTTGCATCAAAGCACCAGAGTTAGTGAATTTAGAACTCATCTGAGTTTTCTGATGAACCTGTCTGTGCTGACATGGGAGGAGGGCAGCAGTTTCAAACATAACATGAATTAGCACTGCTGAAACCCACCTGTTCAGATATGTAGAGACCAGCAGAGCTGACTGCCAAAATCAAGAACACCCGTGTCTTAAAATCATGTCACTCTAAGACAATGACAGGCAGCAACCGGAGAAAGTTGCAGCGTCCTACTTCCATGAAACATATTAAAACTGCAGGTTTTGACTCTGTGGTGTGTTCACACAGCCTACTAAAAAAAAAAGACCTCAAAATTCAGACCGAAGACTTTTAATGGTGATGTGGATAAACACTGTTTTCCCACAATTTATTGCAAAAAGGAAACATAGGAGCTGCTCACATCTGCAAAACGGGAGATTGTGAATGGCAGTGAAACAGCTCCAGCATGATCAGCATATACTGTGATACATACTGTTTACAAGATTAATATTGCTGATATTTTGTACATATATTGGTTAGATTTTCTAGTGAAATATTATTTGTTTTCTTACATTTGTACCTTATTCTAATCACTGAAAATATGTGTGAAGTTTTAATTGTATGCAATCAGAATCTAGTGATAGCGTGAAAAGTTTCTTGTTATAACAATGAACTATATATCTTGTTATGACATGAAACTTTTTATATTATGACAAGATAAATATGAACATATTGAGCAGACTATGGGATTTGATGTAACATAAAATGTTTCACTGTATAATGTGATCACTTATCACATAATGTGAAATGATTTATGTTCTAAGGTTATAAAGATAAAGATAAATTGTATATTGTTATAACAGTTAAAAACAAGTTCTTAAAGCTTGATTATTCACTGTACTACAAAGAAGCCACAATAACAGAGTGTATAAAAACAAGAAGGTAAGATTGCAAAGAGCGCACCACAAGCTGCAAGCGAGAAAGAGAGACTGATGGAGAAGAGAAAACAGAAAAACATAGACAGGTGTACCTTGTGCTACTTCACTGCCAGAACAGATGGGAGCCACACTCCATAGTGTCTGCTGGAAGGCTGCATCTACATGGAGACTGCCATTACCGTAGGACAGATGCTGCAGGGACAGAGACATAAGAGCCAAATAAAAAACACATATTACTGACGCACCAGACAAACACTATGGCTCTTCCTGAATCTGAGTCCAGGGGCCAGATGTATAAACAATGCATACACACAAAAACATGCATACACCTTTATCCACACATTGACTGGTATTTATAGACGAGGAATATGAGGTGAGAATGTGTGTATCAAATATATAGGTATTTCTTCATTCATTTATGGTGAACTGTGGCTGTGGAAATGAGGCTTGTGCATATGCGTTAGTTGTGAATCTTCACAGACTTTTATGCATCTGGCTCAAGGATTTAGTGATTCAGAAAGGCAGGCCTGGTCTGGCCATCAGAAACACCAGAGAGTGCCGCATTGCTCCTAGTGCATCAGACCATGCAATTGGTCTGATACATTCAGTGAGTACGTGATCAGCAATGCTTATAGTCTTCTATTGTTTTGTATTCTATACGGTAGGTGATCCGAAGATGGACAGTCAGGAGAAAGAAAGGGAGAAATAGCTGAGTTAAACTGAGTCCAGTCCAACTGCCTGAGGTTTTTAAGGTTTTAGAGTACTAATAATCTTTGCAAGTGCATGCTGCAGATTATGCAATCAAGCCTACAGTTGGATTAAAGTTACATGCAAAAGTTTGGGCAAAAGTCTGCTTTCTGTGAGTAGTTAAAGGGCCAGTGTGTAAAATGGGTTGAAAACAGTGACATCAGTGGTCAAATTCTAGATTGCAGGGCTCACTCGCTCACCCCTCCCGTCGGGTAAATGACGGTGGCCTCGTAGGGACAAAAAGCCGTGCGCACGAGTTTTTCAGGAGTAGGTCTATCTAGCGACGAGGTGAATGTTTATTAGAAATCTAAGCCATGTTACGATATTGTAATGAATCCCTCACGAGCAGGAGACCAGAGGAGCGTTCGGGAAAAAGGCCCGTTTATTTGAGCACTCCAGAAACTCCGGTAACACACCACTGCGTCCCAAACTCTGACTCTTCTAGCGTAACAGACACACTTCATAACTTTACACACATACTCGTTTACGATACTAAGTGGGGACCCCCCTCCCCTCTCTGCTCCACCAATCTCCAGCCCGCACACTGACTGACAGCGTAGCCGGTAAACAGAGCTCAGCTGTTTATTTAGCCTAGCAATATCTCCGGACTATAGTAGCTGCAATGGACGACTTTGAACGCGATTTTGAAGAGTTTCTTGTAGCGGACACAGACCCAGAGCCATACCTGTTTGAGCCGGAGCATACAGATGAGGAACTCCATGTGTTTGATGCTGAGCAGGTGAGAAGAGAGGCTGAATGCACACAATGGGATTCGGTGCTACTGCTGCCATTGTTGGGGAGATATATCATCAGGAGGAAAAGCGCCGCAGAGAGTGCATCACAAGGGGTGAAGTTGTGTCTTCTTTTCCTCTCAGATGACGGTTCGGGTTCATTCTCTCCTGTTGCGTGGTAAGTGTGGTCCATTCTCAAACTTTATAACTAAAAAAACTTTTCACTACTCTCTATCGACGAACTACTAACACTCTCTGCTGTTTCCTCCTCCTTCTTCCTTCCTTCCACTGTCTTCGCTGGTTCATTTATACACGCAGAACGCGTTCTCTGGCTGGCTGGATTGTCCGCTCGGGCTGCCTTACATACATGGCGGCGCAAGATGGCGACCTCTCTAAAGCAAGGCCCTTGCTATATATATATATGTAAAAGCATAATTATAAGGCTATGAAAACCAAACAAATTTTATTTTATAGCGATTATACACTTGTATAAACATATTAATGGGTAGAATATTCAGATTCAGATTCAGATTGACAATAAACCATGCCAAATATTACACACTGGCCCTTTAAGCAAGTAAAAGATGACCTGATCTCCAAAAGGCAAAATGTTACAGATAACACATTTCTTCATTATTAAGCAAGATTACTTTTCAATTTCAATCTTTTACAGTTTCAAAATAACAAAAAAGGAAAAGGCCTGAAGCAAAAGTTTAGGCATCCTGCATTGTTAGTACTTGGTAGTGCCCACTTTGCCTAGTATGGCAGTTTCTTCTTCTATTCTTAGGCTGCTTCGCATGCACTGCTCATTTGAGGTCTATCCACTGATTCTCAATGATGTTTACATCGGGGGACTGTGGGGGCCATGGCAAAACCTTCAGTCTGCACCTCTGGAGGTAGTCCATTGTGGATTTCAAGGTGTGTTTAGGATCATTGTCCTGTTATAGAAGCCATCCTCTCTGGATCTTCAGCTTTTTTAAAAATGGTGTGACGTTTGCTTCCAGAATTTGCTGGAATTTAACTGAATCCATTCTTCCCTCTACCTCTGAAATGTTCCCCATGCCACTGGCTGCAACACAAGCTCAAATCATGATCGATCCACCCCCGTATTTAACAGTTAGACTGGAGGATTCTGCAATTCCTTTGCTTATTGTGTCCAAAAAGTTCTATTGTATCTTCATCAGTCCACAGGACTTGTTTCCAAAAAGCATCAGGCTTGTTCAGATGTTCCTTTGCAAACCTCTGACGCTGAATTTTGTGGTGAGGACACAGAAAACATTTTCTTCTGATGACTCTTTCATGAGGGTCATGTTTGTACGGGTGTTTTCACTCTAAAATTGTGCAAAACACTTGCTTGAAATGTTAAAAAGCATGTTTCATCTTTAATTCATGCCTTTTGGAGATCAGTTCATCTATTATTCACTTAACTATTCACATTAAAAGAAATTTTGACCAGGGCTGCCTAGACCTTTGCATGCCAATGTAGCTGTAGCTTTTGTAAGTGGCCATCATAATGCTTTTTGTCTCTGTCATTAACATTAAACATTACTTGCAGCATTAAGAACAACATTATGTTGAGGCAGATATTTTTGGTTTTAGGCCTTCATCAGGGTCATCATGCAAGACTGTACAAAAATATTTTAATTAAGTGACTGTGGCAGAAACACCAGCAGCAACCCATGGAAAATTCACATTTACAGTATGGCTATAGTTGAGTTCAGCAGTGAACATACAGTTTTGAACCACTCAAATTCCTGAACTGTTAGAGAGGAAAAGGAAGTTTGTAATGATGGATTTGGTCCATTAACAGAGGGTCAAAGAGAGGCTCTATGTGTTTCTCGAGTCTCCATACTGTTATATCCAGCTACAGTTCATCCATTGGTACATACATATATGTGAATATCCCATTGGTTGCTGTGTATGCATATATGATTAGTTGTCTCCAACTTGTTTTTCGTCACACTTGACTAAGTTTTGTTCATTTTACTTCATGGTCTGACAGTCTTATTAAGAAGGAATAAAGGTTAAGGAATTAAGGAAAGAAACAGTTAAAGGGAAGAAAGAAAGAATAAAGAAACAAAGACACAAAGAGAAAGTGGTAGTAGGATTTAAGTAGTAGCAATCTCCTTGCACATATTCTCACACACAGCTGCTACTAACCAGATATCTTTCAGAAGAGACGCTGACCAGGATGAGATCATCTCCCACTCTAACCTTCTCCCCCTCTGACCGCTGCTTTGATGCTGGATGGATGGTCCACCAGCATGCCTCGCCTACACACACACACACACACACACACACACACACACACACACACAAAGCAAGCAATATTCCTTTAATAGTACCTATCACCTCAGCCTGTGTACCACTTTGGTAGCCTACATTTGTCTTGCAGCTGTTCTGCTTGTACTGTAATTTTGCACCATCTTTACAGAAGCAGGTCAAGAACAAGAACAGGGCAGACAGTGTACTTTGCAGTGGCTTATTTTTCTGACTTTGTTCCAAAGTGTAAACTACAGTGGAGAAGCAGCAGGTCAGCAGTCAGACTGTCAGTTTGATCAGCCCACTCTCAGAGGAAAAAAACAACCACATGGGTCCACCCTGCAAGCAGCTTATTATGATTCATAATTATGTTTATTGCAAGGTAACACCTTCTAGTGAACATGGTAATTACTACAGAAGCGGGGAAGGAAGTGATGTGACATAGCAAAAAAGGGGACAAAGTCTGAGTTATGGTATACATATCGAAGAAGCCCTTATAGGGAGGGATTGAGGGGTGGTGGATGGGTCAAATAAACATAGGACTTTTACACCGGAGACACATGTTCTAATAACTACACAGCCTAGTAGGCTAGTATGTATAGAATGCGATGCTAGCAAAATATGTTACGTCTGTCATGTGACATATGTCACATTACGTTTCTTACAAAAGTACTTTCCTAAAGTTTTTCCTAAACCTGACCAGCTAGTTTTGTTGCCTACATCTAACTGCATAGTTTTGTTACCTTAACATAATCGCATAGTTTTGTTGCCTTAACCTAACCAGGTAACTTTGCTGCCTAAACCTAAGGAGGTTGTTTTGTTAACTAAACATAACCATGGAGTTTTGTTGCCTGAACCGAACCAGGTAGTTTTGGAGTTGAAGTGTGACTGTTTCATGATGTTAAGGACATGTTTAAAACTGCAACCGTTAGAACTGTAATATATGTTGTTTTAAGGCCAGTCACATAAGTTGTTTTAGAAGACAGTAGAAATGAATCTACTCTGTTGTTTAGGTATGGGAGAGCATTGGTTCGAAACAGACAGAAACAACCTGACAGTTCCTAACACTGACAACAGCAGATCTGAGTTTTAGTGCAGAGATGATGAGGAGATAGTGAAAACACAGCGCTGCTTGAGATATCAAACTGGGCCAACTTGGAGCCATTCCACAAAGAGGCCCTAAGCTAATGTAACTTATGGTCCAATGTCCCTGGGTCCAATCTGAGTTAGCTTGATTTAATTGCCATCTGACATGGTCTTTATTTTTCCAGTTTTTTGGGGAAAACTAGTATCATTTTCTTAACCCCTTACCTTTTTCTGTTTTTTTCCCTTAGAGGAGCAATGTGTACTAGGATATAGAGGTATATACTGGCAAGACTGGAATATAACATTTATGTTTCAATGAGTCTATAATCACCTGAAACTAAGAATTGTTGTGTGTTTTCTTAGGCTTAGAATGAGCCTTTCATATCTACACAGGGAGCAGGTCTTCTTCCGTTCAGTCCGCATGTTGGGCTACTATGTTTCTACTGTAGCCAAGAACGGACAAACCAAATTCAGGCACTATGGAGGGCTTTTTGCTTTTGATGCCACTAGATGCCACTAAATCTTACACAGTGATTGTTTACAGAGCTTTACAGTTGGAAAAATGATCTTAACCTAACTCCTGAAAGAAAAAATGTATCTGTCTATTTAGCTGCTAAACGCTCTGCTATGTTCACCAGCTAGTCTCTGACTGTGTCTGTCTGCTGTTTGCTGCTGTGCAGGTAGTGTACAATGGGCTTTTAGAGCTTTTTTCCTGGAAACAGCTGCCTTCTGCTGCTGAAAACAGTGTTGATGGGAGCTGTGAGACTGAACTAAAACAGTCAAGGTCTGGGCTGTCATACCAAAACCCTGAAAGCTACTTAAAAAGTTCTGTAGAGATGAGGGGAACTGCAGAGTTGGTAATAATTCTCTGTGGGTTTTTCACTTCAAGTAACACACTGCACATAATCTTTCTATTAACAAATGTTTAGTGCAGCTTTAAGACACAGTTCAGCAAATTTGACTACACAGCAGAAATTTATTAATAACTGGGTTTTTTTAATATTAACAAAATTCAAACACAGTGATAGCAATGTGTTTGACTCCTACCTGTGGTATCTTCCTGCAGTCCAACATCAAAAGCCAGTTTGTCTGTGGATGAGCGGGAGGTGGACAGACAGCACAGGTACTAAACAGAGAAACAGAATCCATTCATCAATCCATCTGATCAACTATAACATCTACCAGCTACAGTAGCAGAGTTCTCTAGAGCACCAGGCGATTGGATTGATTTGTCTTGTCTAGAGTGTGTATTTGTGTGATTCTCTACCCCTGTTCTAGTTAAAATTACAGTCTCAGTATCACACTGTTTTTCAGTTTACTCATTAGTACCGTCATAGTGTAAGTCTAACCCAGAGAGATACAATGTCTGGGTCTGAAATTTTATACTAACATACTGTTTAGTTTGCCAAAACAGTATGTGAGAGTTTTTTGTGTGTCTGAAACCTTAGTATGAGCCAACAGAACATGAATTGCATGCTATTTTTGATTAAATATTTACCAGCTGCAACAACTTCACAATGGCTGGTATTGTTTTCACCCCATGAATCTGTGTCTGTCATCTTGGTGAAATGTGGTCCTGGTGACACCAACTGTAGCGAGAACTACCACATTAGAAGTTTTGAGTACTTTGGCCGGTGTTTATGATTGTTTATCAACCCATTTTCAAGGTTATAACGTCACAACTGTGCAAGATGAAGTCATGAAACTTTACAGCTGTGTAGTTGAGATTAGAATAAAGGCTAAATTCATTTATGGGTGTAGTCCTGGGGAACGGGGGTAGGGGGTAGGGGTCATTGCCCCTCCCACTTTACCCCCTGGCCCACATTAGTTTTTAGTCATGGATTTCTGTGTTGCAGCTGGAGTGCATCTCAGTCTCTAGATTTTAAATCATTTTTAAATTGCTGGTAGCACTGATATTGGCACAGGCTAATATGATTTTCTATTCAACCGGCAAGGAGGCTCTCAGGGAGTGATGTGGTAATTATAGCTTAGCACATCCAAAAGATACAAACTACTATTTATTCCCACAGAAGTATGTTGAACGATAATACATATATTGGGTGGTTGGTATGCAATTTTGGATGCAGTGAGTATGTCTTGCACAGAAAGAAGTGTTTATCAGTTCAGTTTGCAGTTAAAGTTCTGTGGACAGTTCTGGGGTTCTGTTTAATTATTTAAATGATTCATTTAAAACAATTATATGCATTTCAATTATTCTGTCTTTGCTAGTCTGCTGTCATAAAGCATATTTAATAGTTCATATATATTGAACTACATGTATTTAACAATGTCACCCCACAAACACCAGTACCCTTCAGACTGTAAAAACTTGGTAGGAATTCAGAATCATTTGAGTAATAAATCATTTAATGTTACTGATATCAATGATAATCTTAAATCAAATAATTTGATAGTTGGATTTTTAGGATCTTCTCTTACAAAAACACTTAAAGAACCACCTGTAATTTGGCAATTGCATAAATGTTATTTGTGGAGCAAATATACCATTAACCATCACTCCCTGGAATATTATTCCTGTCAGTATGAGGTAGGTCCTGTCAGGTATATTTTACTTACCTGTTAAACATGTCTCAATGTTCCCTTAATTATTTTTGTTATAACTGTTATTGTGGTGTGTGTGTGTGTGTGTGTGTGTGTGTGTGTGTGTGTGTGTGTGTGTGCGTGTTTACTGACCATTCCACTGTAGGAGTGTCGCAGCAGGACGGCATGTCCGTACAGTAAGGTGCGATGGCCGCCACCCTGGGCCGTCTGACAGAGAGACATGGACAAGAGCAAGAGAGGAAAAACAGCAGAGTTACAAAAGACAGAAAGTCAACGAGAAAGTGAAAACAGCTAAACAGAGATATCAAGAAACAGTACAGACAGAGAGGTCAACAAACGGATGTAGACAGAAGAGAGAGGGAGAGGCCAGCTGGATCATTCCATTCTACAAGAATGCTTCTCATCTGTAAAGTTGTAGGGGGAAATGTTGCCCAAAAGTCTGTTCACTACAGTTTAATAAAGCACATAAGCTTAACTGTAATGTCATCCATCTATCACTTCATTAAAGTAGTCACGGCACTCTGTGAGGAGGTTCAGATGTCAGTATATCACTGTCATAATAACATCCTGAGCTGATAGTATAATTACCATCATCAGGGCTGTCTAATGAAATAATAATCAGGATATGATTTGGGCCTTCACAGTTAATTAAACCTGATCGGGTGCACTATTGATGCTTTGTGTTTAGAGTGCTTCCTCTGGTGCATCAAATCAAATGCTCCCCATTCACAGGTAAACTGTCTGACCAATAGCAAGCTGTTTGATTCCCAAACAGCTGCATTTTACCACTTGAAAAACCTGCAAAAGTAATAAAAAATGTGTAAATACTTTTGATTATCTTGCATGCTTCATGTGCAGGTACCATAACAGACCTTTGTGTGATAAGATTTGTGTATTGTACATCTGGTGGAGGTGTGATCTCTAGGTTTATAGGTTTTAGGGATCGACCGACATGTTTTTTTTCAGAGCCAATGCCGATGCCAATTATTATGAAACAGAGACAAAGCACTACATTCAAATCCAATTTAGCATATATTTGTTCTGAGAACTTTTCCAATGAAACAGTACAGGAAGCTGCCAGCAGCACTTTGAAAAGAAAAAAAAAGTTCATTTATATACATATCATATAGTTTTAGAAGAAGAATATGCAGACTTGCAGTAGTGCGCAATGACATGGTTAAAGTTTAATAGAGCACAGGAAACATGTCTGTAAGTACAAATGTATTGCTTTGAGTTTATTTGCTTATGTTATGTAGAGTTGCTCACTTGCACTTTATTGTTTGTCACTGTAATGCCGTTGTGGCGCCGATGCTAATTTCTGTTAGCATGTCTATGAAGATTTCCATTATATAGCATTATGCTAGCGGACCATGCGCTAATTATTTTTCCACATTTGTGGCACTAATGCCAGCTATACTTTGAGTTTACTTCTGTCTTCTTTTTATTAATTAAAGGACCTCCAGAACATGTTCACTTGATGACGATTGGCCTACATCTTTTTTTTTGTTTGCCGTGGCTCACAGCGCAGTCTGCTTCTCCTCCAAGTCTGTGGCGCTGCATGTAGAAGCTTCAGTGTTGATTGGCTATCACTTGTGCCATGTAACCAATCAGTGTAACCAATCAGTGGGGACTGTTACACAGCCAAGAGTGGGGACTTCAGGCATAGGGACGGCTGCATCAGAGCCAAAGGAGCACATTTCAAAATAAATGTATTTTATCGGTTATCGGTGAAAAAAACGGCCGATGCCGATTATCATAAACATGCTGAATATCTGCCGATGTTATCGGCCATGCCGATAATTGGTCGATCCCTAATAGGTTTATTAGATTCAGTGTAAAGATCAAGGATGTTAAGTAGTGATATAAAATGTGGAGTAAAACTCTTGTTTCAATGACAAATGATGCTCAATAACACTGATTTCAATGTTAAAGGAATACTTCACCCTCAAAATGATCATTTGTATATTAATTACTCACCATGTGTGTGAATTTGTGAAAAAAGCTTTGTTTTTATAACATGCCTCCAATGTGCACAAGGAATCCAAAAACTAAGAAACTGGAGTCCCCGGAAGAAACCCAGGCTGACACAGGGAGAACATGCAGCCTCCGCACAGAAGGGATTCCCCTCCCTGGATTTAAACAAGAAACCCTCTTGCTGTGAGATGACAATGCTAACCACTGTGCCATGCCGCTATATCAAAACATCTTTTTCCAAGCTCTCACACAACTTGAGCAGTATAACCCAAGTCTAATTAATCCAGTCGTATGCTAAGTGTGTACTTCCCCAACACATGCATTTTCGCTAAGGTGTTACAACTTTAAAGTCCAGTGTGTAAGATTTAGGAGAATCTTGTGGCATCTAGCTGTGAGGACTGCAGACTGCAACCAGCTGAAACCTCTCCCTGTATATATATATGTATATATACATATATAGTATATATATACATATACATGCAGACAGCATGTTGCATGTTCTGTCGTGGGGGCTGCCCTCCATCCATCTATCCATTTTCATCCACTTATCTGGGGCTGGGTCGTGGGGGCAGCAGGCCAAGCAAAGCACCCCAGACGTGCCTCTTCCCAGCAATGCTTTCCAGCTCCTCCTGGAGGACCCCAAGTCATTTCTAGGCCAGATGAGTTATGGAGTCTCTCCAGCATGCTCTGGGTCTGCCCCGAGCCCTCCTACCAGTGGGACATCCCGGAATACCTCCAGCGGGAGGCACCTAGGAGGCATCCTGATCAGATGCCCAAACCACCTCAATTGACCCCTTTCGACACAAAGGAGCAACGGCTCTACTCGGACCTCCCTGCGGATGTCCGAGCTCCTTAACCTATCTCTAAGGCTGAGCTCAGCCACCCAGAGGACTTGTATCCATGATCTCATTCTTTCGTATCCAAAGCTCATGACCATAGGTGAGGGTTGGGATGTATATAGATGGGTATATCGAAAGTTTCGCTCTCTGGCTCAGCTCCTTCTTCACCACAATATTCCACCCCAGTCCATGCCGGGGGTTACGGTGTGATGAAGCCAACAGAACCACATCATCTGCAAAAAGCACAGATGCAATTCTGAGGTCCCCAAACTGGACCTCTTCCTCCCCCTGGCTGCATATCGAGAGCCTGTCCATGAATATCATAAATAGGATCAGTGACAAGGGGCAACCCTGGTGGAGGCCAACACCCACCGAAAACATGTTTGACTTTGCGCCGAGTATGCAGACACAGCTCTCCCTTTGGCCCCGGGATACCAGTGACCCTGGTATCCGTAATCCTGCAGTCGCCCCAACAAGACTCTCTGAGGGACACAGTCGTGAGCCTTCTCCACGTCCACAAAACACATGTAGACTGGATGGGCAAACTCCTACGACCCCTCCAGCAGCCCTGTAAGGTTAAAGAGCTGGTCCACTGTTTCACGGCCAGGATGGAATCCATACTGCTCCTCCTGAATCCAAGGTTCAACATGGGTCGGAGCCTCCTTTCCAGCACCCTGGAGTAAACTTTTCCAGCGAGGCGGAGCAGTGTAATACCCCGATAGTTGGAGCACACCCTCCGGTCCCCTTTTTTAAATTAGGCACCACCACCTCTGTCTGCCACTCTGCAGACACTGTATCTGACCTCCACGTGTCACTGGAAAGGCGTGTCAGCCAAGACAGCCCAACGATGTCCAGAGCCTTCAGCATCTCAGGGCGAATCTCATCCACACCTGGCACCTTGCCACTGAGGAGCTTTTTGACTACCTCAGCAACCTCTGCCAGGATATGGACGAGACTTCCTCATGTGGGATGAATGCATGTTACCTTTAAGTGCTGGGAGAAATATCAGACATCCAGCTTTTTTAGTGTATGTACAGTACAGGCCAAAAGTTTGGACACACCTTCTCATTCAATGCGTTTTCTTTATTTTCATGACTATTTACATTGTAGATTCTCACTGAAGGCATCAAAACTATGAATGAACACATGTGGAGTTATGTACTTAACAAAAAAAGGTGAAATAACTGAAAACATGTTTTATATTCTAGTTTCTTCAAAATAGCCACCCTTTGCTCTGATTACTGCTTTGCACACTCTTGGCATTCTCTCCATGAGCTTCAAGAGGTAGTCACCTGAAATGGTTTCCACTTCACAGGTGTGCCTTATCAGGGTTAATTAGTGGAATTTCTTGCTTTATCAATGGGGTTGGGACCATCAGTTGTGTTGTGCAGAAGTCAGGTTAATACACAGCCGACAGCCCTATTGGACAACTGTTAAAATTCATATTATGGCAAGAACCAATCAGCTAACTAAAGAAAAACTAGTGGCCATCATTACTTTAAGAAATGAAGGTCAGTCAGTCCTGAAAATTGCAAAAACTTTAAATGTGTCCCCTAGTGGAGTCGCAAAAACCATCAAGTGCTACAACGAAACTGGCACACATGAGGACCGACCCAGGAAAGGAAGACCAAGAGTCACCTCTGCTTCTGAGGATAAGTTCATCCGAGTCACCAGCCTCAGAAATCGCAAGTTAACAGCAGCTCAGATCAGAGACCAGATGAATGCCACACAGAGTTCTAGCAGCAGACCCATCTCTAGAACAACTGTTAAGAGGAGACTGCGCCAATCAGGCCTTCATGGTCAAATAGCTGCTAGGAAACCACTGCTAAGGAGAGGCAACAAGCAGAAGAGATTTGTTTGGGCCAAGAAACACAAGGAATGGACATTAGACCAGTGGAAATCTGTGCTTTGGTCTGATGAGTCCAAATTTGAGATCTTTGGTTCCAAGCGCCGTGTCTTTGTGAGACGCAGAAAAGGTGAACAGATGGATTCCACATGCCTGGTTCCCACTGTGAAGCATGGAGGAGGAGGTGTGATGGTGTGGGGGTGTTTTGCTGGTGACACTGTTGGCGATTTATTCAAAATTGAAGGCACACTGAACCAGCATGGCTACCACAGCATCCTGCAGCGACATGCCATCCCATCCGGTTTGCGTTTAGTTGGACGATCATTTATTTTTCAACAGGACAATGACCCCAAACACACCTCCAGGCTGTGTAAGGGCTATTTGACCAAGAAGGAGAGTGATGGAGTGCTGCGGCAGATGACCTGGCCTCCACAGTCACCGGACCTGAACCCAATCTAGATGGTTTGGGGTGAGCTGGACCGCAGAGTGAAGGCAAAGGGGCCAACAAGTGCTAAACACCTCTGGGAACTCCTTCAAGACTGTTGGAA